TGAAGGAGATGTTGGAAATTGAAGCCAGCACCTAGAATCTAAAGAATATTAAGTAATCCAAATTGCTAATGGTTGTATTTTGAGCTATAGCTTGTGCAATTTGACGAGATTTTGGCTCAAAATTTTGAAGAATGTGTATTTTTATATTACTAAACTTTGTACATAAGTTTTGTGGTATTTAGATATTGGGTTTGTGAGATATGAAGAAAATAGCACTTGAGTGCTTGTGAATTAGGATTTTAGAACACCTACTAGGGATTTTAAGATGCTAGATGATTGGTAGCAAATTTATAGTTGAATTTTTTTGAGGTAAAGCTTAAGGATAAATTCTATATTATTTGTGAATTTGACAAAAATTAAATAGTTGGATCAAGAGATATGAATTTCTGAAGTTCGAGAAGAAAAAATCCTTTGAAGGAATATTATGTTTTGAAGGGATTTTATTATAATTTAAATATTTTATATAAATTAAAAGAATTTTTGGAAGTCAAGACTTTATAAATGTGTTGAAGATGGATATATGGAGCTATGGTTAAATTTTGATATAAAGGTAAGCTTTTGAGAGGAGATTATGGATTTCTTTGGAATTATTGAAAATCTAACTTATCAACAAATAGTTAGTTATGATTTGGTATAGCCAAGAATGTTAGAAAATTTCTAGATATTTTAAAAAGCCCTATGTACAAACCTTCACAAATATAAAAGATTTTACATGTACAATATCTTTTTGATATTGTTGTATTTAATTATCTTCTACTTTAAAATTTAAATCACTTATTAGAACTTGGCCCATAAGTTAAAATTGAATTCTCTATTGCTAGGAACCTAATGTATTCCAAGATAGAAAACCATGCAATACGACAATGTGTAATATGTGACTAATTTAACTTTTTGACTAATTTTATAATCTAAAAGTCAATTATAAACACGTATAAAATCAAAATCATAACTATGAAGCTTTTAAGAAGCTTATCTAGAAGATATTATAAAATTAATATAATTTTATCTACTTTTACCTACTTCTATCTAATCATATAAGTAATTATCAAAATTAGCATGTATGTTTGTGACACTATAATAGAATATTAATGAAGTAATGGCACAAATTTCTAAGAAATTGGTATATTTTTTGCAAATAAATTTGAAAAAAATTATATTCATTATATATTTACATGGTAAGAATTGATTTGTAAATATTAAAAATTTGAATTGTGGTGGTGTATTAGAAGATATAGTATTATTTTGGGCATTGAAAATGATTATTATAAAAACAAAGATATAAGTTATATTTTCCAAAATAGAATCACTAATAAAACAAGCATATTTAAGAAGCCTAAGTTACTTCTAGTATTCTATTGTGATATGTGACTCTATATTAATTTTGAATTTTTCTCTAATATAAGGTTTTTTTTATCTCTTTTTATTCTTTGTAGTATATTTTTTTATATTAGTGTCTATTCTTTTTAAATATTCAACCTTCATATATATTATAGTAGAGTCTCTAATCATATTTTGTCCATAATATTAAAATGTTTAAATTTTTGCTAACCTATCGAGGAAGGATACCATTAGTATTTTATTAGTTTGTTAAAGATGGAAGAATATTGCAAATTATGAGAGTCTATAGGAATATATAGAATTTCTATTAATAGTTATATTTCTTAGTATCAAAGAACTTGGTCTTCCTAGAAAGAAGCATTTGAATCTCATGAGGTATGATATTAGGATTTATAAGACAATGCATTTTAGAAATATTATTTCAATGGTACTTTTTATCTCATTCCTATATAGTTTTTGTATAGAAGATCATACTATTGAAAGTAAGACACATCTTTCATGCAAGATTTTAATATAGTTGAAAAAATTAGTTAAGATTTTAAAATTTTTTAAAAACATGAAGGTTTTGTGTTGATAATGCTTGAGCACAAGCAATGTTATTTAGTACTAGTAGTATTACAATTGCTAGATAATTTAATATCAAAATTTATACTAGTTATTATTTTTTATTATTTAGTTTTTTATAAGATTTTCTATAATTTGTATTATATAAGTACAAGAAAAATATGAACAATAAATCAAATAATCTTCTTAAAAAATATATAAAATTTGATTTGTTGATGAATTTACAATTTTAATTTCCAATCATTAAAAAAATGGATGTAGTATTGTGAGAAATGACTCAATGATGTAATAAAATTTGAAGTCTATGGATGTATCAAAACTCATCTATATTGTAGTCATGTCAATACAAGTATGTAGACAAATTGGATTATATGAAAGAATTGTATTACTTCAAATGAACACAATATCATGATATTAATATGATTTAAATTTTGGTCATGTATTTCAATTTATTGTATCTCCAAATTCATTCTAAAGTGGTAGTTTTCTTAAAAGTTTGTGTAATTAAGTGATGCATCTTTCAATGCTATAAAATCTCTATACTTCCTAAACTTGGTCAATCGATTATAGCATAAGCTATAAAAAATTATAATTTTTATCTAATTTTCTTTCATTTCAAATATAATTTTAAATATAGATTACATAAAAAATGCATTGTAATTAACAAGAACTTGGAAAATGCTTAAGAATCCATGAGAACTTAGGAAATGTAGTGGAATCTATAAGACCTTAAAAATCCATGAGAACTCACAAGAATATTTTTTAATATCTAATGGCATGAATTTCTACTTTTCTAAATATGATCAAGATTTTGTATCCTAAAAATAATGAAAATGAAAACATCATTATAAATATAGTTTACTTTGAAGTTTTTTAACTTAATTATTTAATTTATTATAATAAATATAACCAAACCTCCCAATTTCACTAAAAAAAACTTAGGTAGCTCTATTATTATATATATATACATATATATTAGTCAATATTTCTTTAGAAGTGGTCAATTTTTGACTTAGCAACTATACATTAAACTTTTCTAATTTTTTTGTGACCAATAGCATAAGTTTTTATTTATATATATATATATATATATATATATATATATATATATATATATATATATATATATATATATATATATATATATATATATATATAAATTAATATTTTTTTACTTTAATATAATAATTTTATTATACATTAAAATTAATTATTTAATATTATGTTTAATACTTGATAATATAATAAGACATTTATTTTGAAGAATTTTATTTGTATAATATTTATTTTCTATAAATTTTTAAAAATAGATAGAAATAAATAAAATCATATATAATAATTATTCATTAAAATTAAAAATATAACTAGGTTTATGAATCATTTTTTATCATATTAAATGTTTATTTCTTATGATATGAATATTATTTTGATATTGACTTGAAAAATAATAAAAAAGTATATGTTTTAAAAAATAGTATTAATTTAATTTATTAATTTAAATATTATTCTACTTAAATTATAATATTTTTAATTTAATTACTTTTTAAGCCTCTAAGATTGAATCACCTTATTAGATGTGATTCTATTCTTTGTATATAATACTTAGATTTATTTCAATTTTATTTTTGTATTAGATAAAAAACAGATTTGAAAAAGAATTATTCAAAGCAATATTTAATATTATAAAAAACTAATTTTCTTCAAAGTGAGCTTTAAATATAATTTCTCAGCGTCATAGTTTATTAGCAAATAATTTTAGTTGACTTATTTTGAAAATGTTTTAAAACTTTATTTTGAATTTTAAAATTTTATATTCAATTCAATCAACAAGTTTATTTTCAAAGAATTTGTTTTTTTGCTAATATTATTAAAATATTTTGTTATAGTTTTAAATACTATCTAAATACAAAAAATTACTTAATCATAAGATGTGTGAAGTTAAAAACAATTAGCAAGAAGTTTGTTTTATGTTGGAGAATTTTGGGAGATTTTGTAGGTGAATTATAAAGAAGGATTGAAAAAAGAAAAGTTTATATACATATACATATACATATCTTTATGGAAGAAAGAAAAGTTTTTGAAAATGTAAAATAATGAAAAAAATTGATAAATATTTGTATTTTATTTACAATGGATTAATTTAATATTATCCATAAAAAAAAAAAGTTGTTGATCAATTATATCTAAAAAAGTATCAGTATATTATAAATCAAAACTTCAGTTTTTTACAAGGTTCTTATGATAATATTTGAGATTACTTAGATTAGTACAAAATAGTGTTGGGACTCCATCACATGGATTTATTTAAAAATATTTAAAAATTAATATCATTTATTATTTAATAAAATCTATGAAATTCATCAATAATTGAAATTAATTAATTTTAGTAATTTTTATCTATTTTTCCATTAATAAATATACTAAAGGTATTTGTACAACAAAAGGTAACTGAAATTATAAGCCATAGCAAAAAATGTTTTTGAACATTTGATTTTTGGGCATCAAATAAGTTTTTAAAGGAATTTGGTATTTAATAATGTTGTATGAAAAGTCTTTTTTTAGAATATCAATTATTTTCAAAAAAATCAATAATTTTGACCAAATAGAACCAAGTTAATACTATCTTTTATGCAATCAAAAGAGTAAAAAATAATTGACACTTACACTCCCAAATAAAAATTGATTCCATGAATCAAGTTTATCAAAAACTAAAAAACTAAAATAAAATAAAATAAAATAAAATAAAAACAAGTAATAATAAATGATTCTTCAACCTTGAACTTCCAAAAGGACTCCATAAACATCGAGATTCAAAATTCCAAATCAAAGACATTCCCACAAAAAATTTAAAAAAAAAAAAATGAAAAAAATCATAGTTTCTTACTTATACCAAGAATCATGTTAGATGTACACAAAGCAAACCTCCCATTGTTCCCGACCTACCGAGAAGACCCGAGGAAGGTCGCAAACCCTGCAGCCGAACCGAGCCAAGCCGAGCCGAGAGGAGCGGAGCCGAACCGAGCCAGGCGAGGCAAGTACCGTTCAGATGCTCACACGTGACCTTCGTCGAATCATGGGCTCCCCCCTAAAGATCGTGAGTTCCGAGGCCAACTGAAGAAGCATTTTTACAGTTGTACAGTAGCCTAACGAGGTTCAGGATTTGCACTTCGCAAATGCAAATCGGTGCAAAGCGAGATTGGAGCCATGGCATCATCGACACAGGGAGGAGTTGGAGCAGTAGTAGTCTCAGTTGCAGTGTTGTTGTTAGCCGGGATCGCTTGCTGCTATGAAGAGGACGGCACTTCGGAGAGTTTTTTGCACATGACCACGGATCTGGAGCATGAAAATCTGTTGTTGGAGCAGTTTGCAGCGTGGGCGCACAAGCACGGCAAGGCTTACCATGATGCGGAGCAGTGTTTGCATCGGTTCGCGGTGTGGAAGGACAACCTAGCTTACATCCGCCACTCGGAGACCAATCGGACCTACTCGCTGGGTCTGACCAAGTTCGCCGACTTAACTAATGAGGAGTTCCGGAGGATGTACACGGGGACGAGAATTGATCGCTCCCGCAGGGCGAAGCGCCGCACGGGTTTTCGTTACGCGGATTCCGAGGCGCCTGAGTCGGTCGATTGGCGGAAGAACGGCGCTGTGACTTCCGTCAAGGATCAAGGCTCGTGCGGTAAGATGTACTTTTGGTGCGTCTCTGTTGTTTTTGGTTGTTGCGATTGGCGGTAATTGCTTTGTGGAGCTCTTTGATAGGTTGTTAATTTTTCACGTTGGGGATTACAGTGTGGTTGATCCTCATGGTTTACTGTTGTAGTGGCCAGAGAACTACTTCGGTCGTAGTTTCTTTTTTGTGCTGTTTTTTCTTACCTTAGTTGCGTTACCTTGCGGCTATGGACTTTGAGTCTGGAGATTTGTAGTTCTGGAGTGAATTATCTTAATATCTTGACGTTTTGTGCGCATTTCTTCTCGCTCGAAAGATATTGAAAGTGCTATGTTACTTACTTGAAGCTTTTCAATCCATGTCATCGCACTGCTACATGGTTGACCCTCACGAAATTATTCCAATGTCGGTGGATTTGTTTTTCTCCTTCTGTTATTTCCAAGAATCTGCTTTGTTACTTCTAAACTTTTCGATTTGGGAACCTGGAGCTTTCAGATTAGTCGTTATGGATATACATGTATTACAGATCTCTAGCTGTATTCCCTTGTTCGAGGTGAATCCCTCTGACTCACCAACAAGTTTCTGTGACTTGTAACTGCCAGGAAGTTGCTGGGCTTTTTCAGCTGTTGGATCTGTTGAAGGTATTAACGCAATCCGAAATGGAGAGGCTGTGTCTCTTTCCGAGCAGGAGCTGGTTGACTGCGACTTGGAGTACAACCAAGGGTGCAACGGTGGTCTCATGGATTATGCCTTCGATTTCATTATTCAAAATGGAGGCATTGACACTGAGAAAGACTATCCTTACAAAGGTTTCGATGGTCGCTGCGACAACAGTAAGGTAGAACATTTTCCTTGAATTCCTTTTTGTTGCAATTAGATTCGCTACCCCCCTTTGTATTGAAGTGGTCGTGGCCATCTAACTAAGCAGATTGACATTGTATGAGCAGAAAAACGCCCACGTAGTCACCATTGATGGTTACGAAGATGTTCCAGAGAACGATGAGGAGGCACTGAAGAAGGCAGTTGCAGGCCAACCTGTCAGTGTTGCCATAGAAGCTGGAGGTCGCGATTTTCAGTTGTATGCTGGGGTATGTGAAAGCTGTTTCCTCTTCAACTAACCTGTGCTCGAATTCTGTCTAATCAATTCTCTATCTATTTGAGTGCTCCTGGAATTTGGCTGGTGCTTTTCTTGGAAGTAGGTGGAAATGTAAGACCGTTTACTAATCTGTAGGTATACTGCAAAGTTGCTAAAATGTTTTTTTTTTTTTTTTTTTTTTTTTTTTTGCTTTTTTTTTTTTGTATCCTCAGGGTGTTTTCAGTGGAGAATGCGGCACCGATCTTGATCACGGAGTCCTCGCTGTAGGTTACGGCACTGAGGATGGCGTGGACTACTGGATTGTGAAGAACTCATGGGGAGAGTACTGGGGAGAGAGCGGTTACCTCCGAATGAAGCGAAACATGAAGGATTCTAACGATGGGCCTGGGTTGTGTGGTATAAACATTGAACCTTCATACGCCGTGAAAACTTCTCCTAACCCCCCAAACCCTGGACCTACTCCTCCATCACCTACACCGCCTGAAGTGATTTGTGACAAATGGCGCACCTGTCCTTCCGAGAACACATGCTGCTGCACCTTCCCCATGGGCAAGATGTGCCTCGCCTGGGGTTGCTGCTCCATGGACTCTGCAACTTGCTGCGACGACCACTATCACTGTTGCCCTCACGATTACCCTGTTTGCAATTTGGCTGCCGGCCTTTGCGTCAAGGTGTGCCATCATTCTCCTCTCAACCCTTCTATCGCAACTCTTTTTCATTTCTCTCCATGTTCTTCTGGAAAGAATGGAAGTGTCTTGATACGCACAGTGCTTATTTTGTTCAGAAGGATTTTATTTAGTTGGTAGCTAGCTAATCGTTTGCATGCGATACTACAGGGAGAACACGACAAGGAAGGGGTTGCGTTAATGAAGCGGACTATGGCTCACTTCAACTGGCAAGGTAACTTCTAAGAGGTTGGTTGCAACATCCATCTAAAGATTGGAGTTTGTAGCCCTTAATTACTGAAGAGCTGCCCAAAGAAGATGGTTGCATTACCTTGACAAATCTGTTAGAGGAATACTGTACTGTACATAGCCCCCAGCTTGACGTGAGGCAAGCTCCTCCTCCGCAATGCAGATTTGTGGACTGAAAATGTACATTCCTCTTTATTTCTTCTGAAGTATAAAATGTTGTAGTGCCAGGGAAGATCGAAAAGTTTCGTTACCTCAGGGTTGACGTACCTCAAAGGATTGAGTTATGTCTACAAGTTTATGAGTATGACAATCCTCATTTGTGTGATGAAAGTATGTGGCCTCATGAGTTCTCTGGAGAATGTTGAAAGGTGTATTTTTCCAGTTTATGTTATAAAAATTCACGTGGTAATAATTACATACACATACTTACAAATGGAATTCATCCCCCGTGGAGCGCCAACTAATATTATCATACTAGTGTCAACAGTTCGTAGTATGTTATATGAACATCTACGAAAGTATAAGTTGAGCAAATTTGCCTTCCATTTCTAAGTGGTCATCTTTCCTTTTCCTCGAGAGTAGTGATGGCTTGAATGATTCATACTTTAGCAGTAATGTAATTGTGATAACCACATTTTTGATGACTGGTGCATATTAACTCGTTCAATTGTGGAATAATTCTCAGGACGTAAATCTGTTGTCATGTCTGTAGTCATTGTGCTATGTTTTGAAGACATCATGTGAGTGTGAAATCAAGAGATCCTTCACATTTGAGGTCAGAGAGGTGGGTTTCAATTTGACTTCCTGGACAGAGGATAGAATTGAGTTTGACGTTATAATTCACATTCTTGATTGGCTTCCAAACTTTGGACCTTGCTAGTATTATGCCTCCAGATTTTGTAAGTTTGTTTTTGATCTGGTGTTTTTCAGATTTTTCTCATTACTGAAATTTAAAACCTTAAGTCATAAGAATCAGCACCAAATCATAAACATTCTGAATGCTGCTATTTCACCATGTCAGGAGGCAAAACAGTTACATGATGAATGAAATATGGATGGGTGACGTTCTTCATAGGTTAACAATGAAGATAGATGCAAAACTAAAAGTGGATGATTACCAGTCACTAAGGTTGACTAAATCACACACTGAAATCCACATAAATTTCATTTAGATATTATCATTTAGACTGAGGCTACAAACACACCCCAAGTTGCTATATGCACACCCATTAAATCTACACACGCCCAAACTTCTGATTGGCTCATACAGATCCCTTTTCCCTAGTCCTGCGCGCAGGCCCCGATCCCCTTCTTCTCTCTTGACCCACCCGGCGCGAGTCCTGCCCCCCCTCGTCTCTCCCTTGCCCTGGCGCGGGACCATGACTGCATCGGTATTTCTTTGCTGAAGAGGTCGTAGCTGTTATCGAGGCAAGGAATGTTTACAGTAGCCAGCTTCATGGACAAAAACTCGATTGGGCGCTGGAGGGATTGCACACAATTGATAATCTCGTCCAACATGACTGCCTTCCCTGTCACCTGTTGATTGAAACGAATGAAGCCAAAGTACAAATGGAAGACAAACAAAACATGGTCAAATGTGCTGAAATAGCTCAAAAGGAAAGATAAAATCCATAGATACGTACCTTGAGCGTACTAACTTCAAGACTACTAAAATACAAGTTGTAAACATTGAGATTTACTCTATTTTGATTTTACTATATTTTTGTCTAAAATTTTCCCAACATATTCCTTCTGTTAACTATTCCTCGCTTGCAACACTCCTAGTGAACACTGAGGAAACTTACACTGTTGTGGTTTATTTCAACAAACTTCCTGAGGTTTGAAATGTTCTTTACAAATGCTTTGTACCTTAATTGAATCTTAAAATTAAATTTTGTTCAATATTAACAAAAAAATTCAGAAATGCTCTAACAAACACTATGATTCTTATCAAACACTCTGTAAATTTTGTCACACTTTCTTTAAACCCTAAAGTAATTCAGAACACCTCAGAAATGTCCAAAAGCTCCACCTTCATATAACACATTCATACACATATATAAGGCTCGAGGAAAGGCAATCTTAGCTTAAAGTTTAAAACATCTTGTTTTATCCCCCCAAAAAATCAGAATACATCACAGTAAATTTATTTTTAGGCTTCAGGAACGTTTCCAAAAAAACAATTGTTATTGATTTTAAGTATCATAATTTGAAGGTTTAAATCTGAGCAAAAAACCACTGTTTTTTCCAATCAATAATTATAAAGAACCAGTATATATATATATTCCAATTTTTTTTCTTTAATCATCTTAAAATAGCCTCAAATCTTGAGTTGGTTTTTGTGATGGGTTTATCATTCTTTTTGACCTTCCAAACCAATAAAAATAACCTCATCACAAGCTGAATTCAACATTGTAATTGTTTGGGAATATTAGATGACGTAACATGGTTTCAGCTGTTAGTAAGAAATTGAAAAGATAAAAATTTCCGTTCTTTTATTAATATATATATATATATATATATATACATATATTTGATAATGCAGGAAAGATAGAGCTTTTGACATACCCATTTAAAAGCCTATACATATCATCAAGTTCCTACCATAATATCTTTATGATTTGAAATGATCATAAAAATTTATAGGACCTATTTGAAAATAAGCATGAATTTTTTATTTTTTATTTTTTTTTAATGTTTTTCATTATAATGAATAAGCTTACTTTGGTTCTTTTTAAAATCTTCTTCATGAATGACATAGATTTTTATTAATGAATTCCATCTTAGCACCTGTATACTCTACCAGTTGTTGTTATCTCTATTTAACACTATCTATATGTGAATATATCTTATAATGTCATTGTAAGGTAAAGTAAATCTTTGAGCACTAGGTAATAACTTGGTATTTCACCATGAGTTTGAACTATCCATGTGGTAAATTTATTTTATTAAAAATAAACTGAATGGGAGATATCAATGAAAATCACAAAAGTGTTTTTTTTTCATTTTTAAGTCTAAATTATTTTCAATCATATTATTTGAAAATAATGAAATGATAGAATGAATATTTATTACTATAAATTGTACTTATTTAAAAGGAGCTATTTAAAATTTGTAATTCTGTTAATTATTCATATTTATTTTATCACTGATGATTGAAAACCATGGCATAATTAAGTGTGTAATTTTTAACAATAATTTAAGTAGTATCATTTCTGCCAAAAATGAAATAAAATATCCATAACATCACGTTCTCATTTATAAAGAATATATTATATACTTGTAAGTACAAATAACACGAAGTAAAAATGAGATTAAAATTATTTTTTAATTTGGTGAATAAGACTTAAATTATTGAGATACAAGATAATTTTATGAAAAAATAAATAATAATTTGTTTTTAATAAAACCAAATTCAAAAGGTCAAATCTAATAATTTTGAATTTAAATTTATTCTTGTAACATAAAAAATATCAAATATTGTGTATCAATTATATGTTAGTACTTAAAATTTTCACCTTACTTGAAGGTGTAATAGTGAAGTCAAAAATAAAAAAATTATATATATATATATATATATATAATTATAGGATATTGCTAATGCCACTGCAACTTACTACCTCCTTGACATAGTTATTTAGTTTTTTTTATTCCAATAAAAAAAATCACTTAATAATTTTAATATATATATATTTTTTAGATTATAAAAAATAATCTTAGTTTTAATAATAATAATTAAAAAAATAAATAAAGATAAGTTTTTCTAATTTTTTTTGATAAATATTTATACAAATATATATTAATATAATTTTTTATTTTTAAAATACTAAAAATTATATGTATTGAGAGAGAGAAATGTATATATATATATATATATATATATATATCTTAGAGGTGCCAAAATAGTTGGTGTCTTTGAAGAGCATTAAGAGCACTAAATGTCTAGTAAATCATGATTTCTTAAGATCTTATCTTCATGATGCATATAAATATATATATATATAAATATATATATATATCTTCATTAGTTCCAAAATAAGATATAAAATAAAATAAAAAATAAAAAATAAAAACTTCAAACTATGCCTAAAATAATTGATGAACTATTTGTATAGTTGGTTAGAAGAAAAATGAAAGAGTTAAGAAGAAATCAATGAAATAAAACAAAGAAACTTGCAAAAGGAAACCTATGGGATTGTATTCTTTAATCTTAAAGCAAATGGGAGCTATAATAGTATTTGAGAAGCTCTGTAGCATTGTAACATTATTACAATTTGCTCTAATCCTAATGATAGCAATCATTATACTAAATAAATCTTGTGCATGTCATACGAGTATACCACATGAGTGTTTAATAACTATTTTAATTTCATTATTAATCATTAGATACATTAAAAAATTTAATTTTAATAGCACTAATTAAATTAATCAAAATTAAGTTTGAAATTTTATTTATATTCAAAATTTCAAAATAGCATGGCTTTGTATTATTTTTAATATTCTTTCATTTTGAACTTGTATTAATCCATCAACTTTCTACCATAATTTTAAAATACTTTGTAATGAAAATAATGCAAAGTATAAGAATCTCTTTCCTTTCTATGTTTTAATTTGAAAATAGTTCTTCAAAATCTTTTTTATGTGACTAATTAAACACAAGGTGTCAAAGCTTAAAATAAAATTAAGAACTCAACTCTAGCCACATTAGTTTATTGTTTTCTTATATCCTTTGTGAAGGCTTCTAAAATCTAGAAAAGATACTATTTTAAAATGATATCTTTGGAATTTTTTTTTTGAATTTTCAAAATAGTTTCAGTATGTTAGAAGTATACAAAAAGAATTGAGGTACTTCTAATAGATTTTATTTTATTCTTATTTATTATCTTTTGATAGTCCACATATTGTTCACCAAGAAGTGATTAGACACCTTTCAAAGTATTATTTTTATTATGATTTAAAAAATTAAATACTTTGTTGCATTTTTTTTTTTTTTTTTTTTTTTTTTCCTATATAGATACTACCTAGTCATAGATTTGAGAAGATAATGCTCGTTTAATTTTTTTTTAATTCCAATATAATTTTTTGATTTTTTTTTATGTTATTGTTAATTTTGATGATTATTTATAATATTTTTATTAAAATCATAAAAATAAAAAAATAAAAAATAGAATTTTGTAGTTACATATAATTACCTTTCATATTTCCTAATTTCCTTCTAAAAATGCCACAATCTTGAAAGGAACCTAAATATCCTACTTGCCCTCTTAATATTAAAATTATTTTTTGAAAAATAATGTAAAAACTTTAATAATCAAGTTTAAGGTTTGTAAGAGTAATATAAATTATTATATTTAATAAATCTTTAAATTTCTTGATCATAAAGGTTTTAAATATCTTCTAATACTTATTAGATGTGCATTTCAACAAATCTTTTCATACCATGATAGATTTCAACATAAGGATGATGATAATATAAAAATAAAATAAAAAAGACTAAATTACCACAATATCTACATATTATAAAAAGAAATTTACTTATTATAGGAATTTAAAAATAATTTTTAGAGAAAAAAAATTCTTTATCAGTTTTGATTTCCATCTCAAAGAATAATATCATCATGTTCAATTACAAATTTGTTTTAAAATCTATGTACATCAATAAAAAATTTGTTATATCACATAAAAATTAAGAAATAATTCAATTCTAAACATTGAAATTCAGATGACCAAGCATAAGAACCACCTTTAAGCAAATATAAAAAATTGAACATTACAGTTTTACAATGAAAAATTATTATGTGGCTCTGAAACCAAAGTGCCCAAAATTTGAAGGGGAATTATTAAGCAACGTATTCAATTAATTGATCTCAAAACAGAAGAGCAACTGAAAAATATATATAAAAAAATAAAAATAAAAATAGTGTATTGAATAAATACACTGTCATCTCGAAGCTCCCCACACGTTCCCATCATACCGCACGGGCCGGTCGAAGGGAACGTGAAAGATAAGTCCAGGAAGGAGGGGGACGGATTCCATGTGGAATCGACCACCCAGGGGAGGCAGAACAGTCGTGGTGAGCTGAGCTTTGCAGCCGCGGCGGTCGTTGGGGGGTTGCGGATAACTTGAGGCAGAGCTTGCATCTTCGGGAAAGCCAACAGCAATGAGGATCCCAATGCTGTTGATTCGAGAGATTTGGGCGTGTGGGTTCAATCCCACCCCTCTCGCAATCCCATTTCCTTTCCCCATCTCAGCTCTCTCTGATTCTCTCGGTATCTCACACGCTGCTGTGTCCTCAAATTCAAGTTGGCGTCCACAGACTGGAGCTCGGTGAGAGCTTCGTGGTTGACGGAGGAGTGGGACTGTTGAATTTCAATGGAAGAATTCGTGGTTCTGTTGTGGAATTGGTATGATGGTAGAGATGTGGAGTAGACGCGCGGAGGAGATTGGAGGCGAGATGGATTTTGGGAGTGTTGGAGGAATTGGTGTGATGCGGTGTTGAGGAGGGAAGCATGGCCATGGTGGGTCAGGGCTTTGGTAGCCCCGGGCTATTGCCAATCCGCCTCCGCAACTCCTCGTCTCATTTTCATTCTGGGATTTATTTCAAAGACGTGCTGCACGTTATGCCTGACCCCAAACAGAGCTCCTGGCTAGTGTCATCCATCCCAAGCACTGCAGCCTGTGCAGAGCCTGATTCTAGATTCATATATTTGTGTTTTTCGTCGTCTCGGTTGAGAGCTTTTACGAATGGGAGACTCCATTTTCCACCCTTGCAAGCGGCGGCTTTACTGTTTTCCCAGACACTTATCAGTCCTAAACTCTCTGATTCCACTCTTAGGATGTCCAATGCGAACCCTGATATTGAGGGTTCAGACATGCTCGAGCAATGCAAGCCTAGCAACCCAAGTAAATCTAAGTCGTCGCTGGCTCGATTTAAGGCCCTAAAACCAGCAGGGGTCAAGGCCTCCCTGCAATCAACAGAGAAGCGTCAGCTGAAGCGCTACGTCACATTGGCCAAACAGCTCGCTGCCGAGGGACACATGCTTGAGTTCGCCGCGTTTCTCCAGGTGTGTATGTATAATCACTAATTGTGCCATTCATTTCTTTCAAACATATGTCATGGCTCAAATTCCGATGGGCATGACAGGATTAAAGTACAGTATGTGGTTTCGGGTTTAGTGCTGTAAGCAAGCGAAGCAGTGTACAGCACTTCAACTCAATCTGGTGCTGTAATTCGTACATGGTCGCTGTTGAGTATGTTCTACGCTACAACATTTGCCAGAAGAACCTTCTATATTTTGACACTTGAAGGCAAGCATGACATTAATCTTGTATGATAGGATTGTGTTTCTTGTAGATGCTGGCAGATGCAGGACTCGACAAAGAGTCGTTTACCTCGAAATTGGACTTCGCCCAAGTGGATGCTGGCCTTACCCTGCTGCTGTCACGAAATAAACTGGATACGTTTGTAAGTGTGATGAAGAATCTCACAAAAGCAGGATACACTGCATGGCAATTTGCTGGGAAGCGCTCGCGGGAAATTTTGTCTGATGAGCTTCTGTTGCTCTTGGAAACCGGGAGAACTGAATATTGCGTCAAGATTGTTGAGTCATTATCAGGTATTGGTGAGAAGCTGAATGTTGACAATTTTTTAGGCACTTGCTAGCTTTTTCACGATTAGTTTTAGGGTGTAGGTGTCTTGAACGCTGACCTAATGTTAAGTCATATCTGGCCATTTTCTTTCTTGTTCTTGAAAGAGGTTTTACTTGAAAAGGCTTGTGTACGTTCGTTACATATCCTTGGAATGTCTCATGTTTTGTTTTGAATGCGCGTCTTATAAGATCAAAGTAATTGTGTGTTGTTTTACGTTCTCTTGGTTCTTATATTGTAACAGTAAGCGGATGCATCGTTTCGGTGTTTCAGAATGTGGGTTTCTGACTAAGAAACTAATCGATTCAGCCCGCGTGATTGCAAGCTGCGCAAAATCATGGAACCTTTCGTTGGCTTACAGGTACACAATTTCTTGCAATCACTTCCTCATTCACGTGCGTTTGAACTTTGTACTCGTCAGCATGGGTGTTCCTCTTTTGCCTGACGTGCAACACTGAATTATTCTTACCCTCCAGTCTTACGTACATTTGGGAAGCTTACGTAACCTATACATAAGAATACAAGACTAAGATTCGAATTGATATCAGAATATTCACAACATCAAACGCCTGCTTCACTGTGCGCAGATTTGTGAAACTTCTTTCCCGAAAACCGTGGCACTACAATCTCATGATACGAGAATTTAGCTATAATCACCAGCTTCAGAGCTCATTCGATGTTTTGGATATCATGCGAGAGTTTGGAGTTGCGCCTGATTTGTACACGTACCGCGCTTTAATTGACTCATGTGGACGCTGCAATGAATCCTCCAAAGCGGCCGTTGTATTCGAGGTTTGTTCTTCATGCTTATGTTTCATGACTATGATGTGCTCATCCGAGAGCGTGAAAGTTTACTTTTTGAGAGGAATTTACTTTCAACAATTACTGAAGCAAAGCTGACCACGTATAAGTGTTCGGGATGTGTAGACGATGCTGAAAGATGGCTTTAAGCCCAACGTGTTTGTCTACAATAGCCTGATGAATGTCAGTGTCGGTGACCTGGATGAAGTGCAGCGTTATTACCAGCATATGCAGGTAACCATTTTGAGTTGTGTGGTTCATCCCGAAATTATTTTAGATTTTTCCTTCTGAGTGATCAATAAAAATGGGATCCATAGCAGCTATGATTGGTGACGGTTGAATCTTGGCCCTAAGAGTAGAGAGGTGAAGGCAGTTGTTTGGTAACTAATGTGGAAAGCAGGGTGCAGGAATTACAGGCAACTTAGCTTCTTTCAACATTCTGCTCAAGGCGTATGCTGCTTGTGGCCGTGCAGACCTGGCAGCTGACCTCTACTTCCGCATTCAGCAGACAGGCGAACTCAATCTGGACGTTGTATCTTACAATGCTGTTATCAATGTAAGAGGACCTTATGTTGATTAGGTTGTTTTTGGACGAAATAAATTGTTGCTTATTCGTTTAAGGTCTACTTCTGAACACTGTAAAGGACCTCAATGTCTCTCTTACAGCTGTTCAAACCTGGTTTTCACAAGCAATCTGATTAACTGCTGGTACCTGTCCTGTAAGTGTGATGTTTTCTACCTCTGAAACGTATTGGTTATGTACGTCCCGTAGGTTTTCGGAAGAGCAAAGATGTGGGAGAAAGCCTTGCGAGTTAAAGCCGACATAATAGAAGCTGGGGTGACTCCCAATGTTGTGACATGGACTTCAATCATCGAGGCGTGTGCTACTGCAGGCCTTGTAGAGCGAGTGTTCCAAGAATTTGACGAAATGCTTAGTGCGGGTTGTTGTCCAAATGTAGACTGCTACAATGCGCTTCTCCAGGCTTGTGTCATGGTGATGCCCTTCACCTTCTATCTAGTCTCGCTTTCAGAAATCAGACTTCTGAAAGACAGTCTCAATATCTGGTTTTGGTTTTTTGTGGGATTGCTCAGGCTGGCCAAAATGAGCGGGCATTTCAGCTTTTTCAAGAATGGAAGCAAACGGGGCAAATACGTCCCCTCTCCGATCATTTGAATCACCCTGACCCACTCTGCAGAACATATGAGCTGATAGCTGTCTCAGACATCTTTCCTCGGCCTTCACCGTCGTGGAACGGATATATAGACGAGGAGAACTGGGACTCTCTACGATTATCTCGTTGTAAGCCGAATCTTCTGACATACAACTGGATGATGAAGGCATGTGGTGCAGCTCCAGAGAGGATAAGGTCGCTGATGCTAGAGATGCAGGCTTTTAACCTAATTCCCGACGTGACGAGCTGGTCAATTCTCCTAGGCGCTTACGGAAGTAACGGCGACCTGGAGGGTTGTATGGACACTTTTAAGGAAATGAGACGGGCCAGATTCAAGCCAGACGTCGTCGCGTATACAACTCTGATCAAGGCGTGCGTCCTATTCGGAGAATCGGACATGGCGTTCGAAATTTTCCAGGAGATGAAAGCTGCAGGCGTGCGTCCCAACGCCGTGACGTACAACACCTTGATACGAGGCCACCGAAGTCACAGTCAACTCTTCCAAGTGCAACGGGCGTTGGCAATTTACGAAGAAATGCGGGAAGCAGGGCATACTCTCAATGACTTCACACTTCAAGGGCTGATCAAGGAGTGGGGTGAAGGTCTTTCTGATGGAAGGCCGTCAAGCTATGTCGACTCCGAGAAGGGATTCCTGGAGTACACCGAAGCCCTTGTGCAGAAAGTTGCTGCCCATGCACGCGACCATAATGACAATTCCATTGTTGATTTGCATGGCTTGTCGATGGGTGAAGCGCGAGCAGCAGTCTTGGCCGTTCTGCGTACCATCAAAGAGCGCTTCTTGCTTGGCAATCCTGTCACCGGGGACTTAGTCATCAACACTGGGGTAGGCCACCACAGTGAGGACAAAGGAGTCTCTATTCTTCGAGACGTTGTGCTTGGCGTTTTGCAGGAAGAGCTTGGCCTCTGTGTTGAGTCTGTGTTGGCGGACGTCCCGGGCCAAGCTTCCAGTAGTCAGTTAGGAAGTAGTGGAAGTAGCGATGGTTCTTCATCACACCTGCCACGAACACCTGTTAGACCTCACAGACCAGTCAACTTGGGTAGATTGAAGGTGATTAAAGAGTCGCTCAACGCATGGTTGGGAAGGAAGTCGCAAACAGTCACTGATCGACAATGATTTTCATTGACTAGTGTAAATTACATTCTTCGTGTATCTTGTATGGATTTGACAAATCGCAGCGTGGGCTCAATTGTTCACTTTTGTTACTGATTCAATAATCTGGATTGACGGTTTTAGATACGCACCTTGATGTGTCCGTGTGTGTGCGTGTGCGTGTGTTGCAAAGGACCTGCGCAGATATATTATCACTTCTGCTAGAGTCGGGACAAGTTTTGAACAGTACCCACACACCAAATCAATAATTTCCGATTGTGAGCAGGTGATTCTTCGCACTAGGCAAGACGATATCTGTCATATAGTGGTTCTGCCCGTAATTACGAACGAGATTTGTCCACCAGTGTTAGCCTATCTTGGTGTACAATGCCAAACGAGGGTTATGATGATCACAGCACTCGCAAAATAGTCAGTGAGGGAAGACCTCTGACCTTTTGAGACGATACAGATGCGTTCCTGTAGTAACCAAATCGTTTCTTGAGAAGAGCAGATTCGATGCACCTAACAAACGGCCATGTCGAAATGCAATTGGTGAAAAGGTTTGAGGTGAACGTACGCTTGAAGTTACTCCGATTGGACCCTGCCGCTGGGTGCAACTGGAATGCTGCAGTGAATAGCAGCCAGTTTAATTCATGTCACCAGCACAGGAACAACATAGAAGTGAAGCAAGAACGACATTCAACATCGAAGTTCTCAGTCAAGGCCTTTAATTGAGCAGAGACATCACTGAATTTTCTATTACTCGTCAGGATTATAAACCGGAAAAACTCGGAGGTTCAACTTTTCTGGATCAATAATGCCACTGATTGTAAGGCGCAATCATATTCAAAGAGTGGTAGTTTTCAAGTGTTTTGGGCATAGTGTGCACAAGTGTCAAAAACACCATCTGAAACCGATACTTCTGTAAGAACAGTAGGTCTTATCTGTTGGGAAGCTCTCATGTAACTATTTTGGGGAATCAACTATAGTTTGCTACACAGTTCGGAGGCTTCGTGTCTTGGAGTTCCTGCTGCTGCTGCAGTTGCTGCAGCATGTGATTCTGCAGTTTGATCTAGCACACCTTTATACTAATAGTAGGAATCGTTGAAAAGTCTGAAATCATTTAAGCCAGTTGGCCGTAGGATTGTTACGATCAATAGTTGTCGGTAGTTATCGATGGTTGATTGTTACCCTACCAGTCAAACCTACTTGTTACACATTTCACAACTTGATAAGCCTACGATATTGGACCAACATGAATCAATCCCCAAATTGGGTAGAAATTGGTGTTCACTCCAATAAATAGTTTGGGAACTTCGGACAAGTACTAGGTGATAAGAGTGGTCCAAGAGAGGGAGGCCGAAGGGTGAAAGAAGCTGGCAATAAGAAAATGCATTTTAAAACTAAATTTGATAATTAATACATAATAAAGATTTCATAAAGGTGCAACTAGGTAGATTTGAATATGGCAAAATTTGGATTCAAATTGCTTCTTGTAACTTACAAATAACTCTTATTTTGTTATAGAAATACACAAATATTTATACAAAATAGGATTTTGCTTTTTGTTTTTTTTTTTTTACTACCAAACTTAGAAGCAATATGCAAGCTATGGATAAGGAACAAAATCTTATGCCCCTATTCAACAACTTATTGATATTATTATCTTAGGTAGTACTTATTTAGATATAGAATGTGAAGGTTGTTTTGTAAAATTCTTAAAAGTGTTACATTTAAATTTTGTATTCTTTTCATTGAAACCAAACTCCAAAATTTAGAGTAAGTTTTGCACTTATATATGAAAAAAAAAGTGAGTTGCTCCGATTTTTGAATGTTTTGATTGATTAAAATTAAAAAACCTTCTTGAGCTGGTTTTGTACTTAGAAAAATAAATCCAAAGGCCGACAAACAAAAAGATGAAGTAAAATACATTTTTTTTCTATATAACATTAGTAGTTTTTTCTTCTAAAATTTCTTTTTAATTCATTTTAAGTAGCAGTTTTCTAAAACAAAATAAAAAGGAGTATTAAAAAAGTATAAAATAACTATCAAAAAAAAAATCAAGTTTTTAATATAATTTTAATAATTATGAAAATAAAGATATAAAATAATATATTTAGATTTATAATAAAAAAAATTTAATCTATTTTATAGTGTCTTTTCACTCTATAACTTATCCACAAATTAAGGCCTTTAAGTAAAGACTATTCTTCAACAATCAAGGGAATTTATTAAGGCTTTTGAACCATGACCTTTTAAAATGTTTTCCAAGTATAAATTTTACTTTAGTTTATTTTGATCATTGTAGATTAAAGCTTACACTTTGATTTTTTAAAAAAAATATTATATACTAGTATTTATAAAAATATTATAAGTTTATATAAATTTTTATTAAAAATCTATATTTCATGCAAAGATTCTTACATCTAATTATTTAAAGTAATTTTTTAAATTTTTTTATAAAATTATGAAATATATATTTTTAGTTTTTTAAAATTTTAATAATTTTATCTTATAAATTTATTATTTTGATATATATATATATATGTAATATAATATAGTTTTTTAAAAAAAATTATATCTTTATTAATGTCTTGTTAGAGATAAAAATTAAAAAATATAAATAAAGAAATAAGATATTTTTCAAAGAAAGATAAGATATATATATATATATATATATATATATATATATATATATATTGAAGAAGAAATTGGAATGACTATTGCAAAAGATTAAAAAATTATAAAATCTTGAAACTAGACTAGAAGCAAAAAATGAATTGATAAGACTAAGAAATATCTCACTCTTGCCTCTATATATACTATTTGATTAGGAGTTATATGACAATGTTCTATAAGACCTCTAATATATGTCCAACTTGCAAGATATATGACTAATTTGCAAAAAGAACTTTTTATATGTATGCCACATATCTAACTTGTTCCACAAGTAGCCAACATGTGTAATACATAACCAACTTATTTAATTCTAAATCCTAAATCCTACAATCCTATAACCTTATAACTTTGTAATCTTAAATCCTAAACTTTAAATTTTGTAATTCTATATTCTAAATTCTAAATCCTAAAAACTTGGTTTCATATTATTTGAATCAATATTGAGATTTTGAAGGATTTTCAAAGTTAATAATGTACTCAACGGATGTAGATTTTAAGAAATAAATTTTTTTTATAAATTTTAGGATTTTGTATATTTTATAGTATATTTATAAATGAAACTTGAATAAATTTATTATTTTATTTTTTGTTAATGTGTGTAAAAATTTGAAATTAATCAAGTAATTAGATTGAAATACATAAGGATTTTTGTAGGTTATAGTCTTGAAAATTTTAGATTTAGGGTCAATGAATGATTCTAAGATCTAGTAATATCTACTAATTAGATTGGATCAAAATCTGGTGAAAGCAATAAAAACCTCAATGTATATACACAATCCAATTTTCGAGTGATTGAACAGTTCATCAAAGAAAAATTGGTATTAAAAGATTAACATTCAAATTAGATAAAGAGGGTAGCCAATGATTGTGAGGTTTTGAAAGCTTCTTTTGCAATCAATAAGTATAATTCTTTTCAAATCTTGTGTGTTTGTTAATTACTTGTTCATTGAAGTTTGGATGAAATTTTAGTCAAGATCTATAGTTCAATTAATATTTATTAAGATTCCAAATAGCTATAATAAATGATTGAAATTTATTTGGAATTTTCTTGAGGTTGTTTAGGATGTAGGATTTCATTAGGATTCGGTCTAGGATTAAGATTTAGGATTTGCTTAAGATTTACTAAAGATTTATCAAGGATTTGATTACGATTTAGGATTTCATTGGAATTTGGTCTAAGGTTAGGATTTAAGATTTGATTAGGATTTTGCCTAAGATTAGGATTTAAGATTTATTTATGTTTAGGATTTAGAATTTGTCTAGAATTTGTTAGGGATTTTTTAGGATTTAATTAGAATTTATTTAAGATTTGATTAATATTTATATAAGATTTAGGATTTGATTAAGATTTATATAAGATTTAGGATTTGATTAAGATTTATATAAGATTTGAAATTTGATTAAGATTTGATTAAAATTGGTTTAAGATTTGATTAAGGTTTGTTGAGAGTTATAATAGGATTTGATTAAAATTTAATTAAGATTTTTAATTTTGATATTTTTTAAATATTTTTTTATTATAGATATTTTATTAAAATTAATTTATAATTTCTTTATGTTTCTTTTGAATATTCTTGAAACTTCTTTTAGATTTAATTAAAGATTGATTAACATTGTTATAATTTAATTGAAGTTTGTTTAATATTCTATCAGAGTTGTTAGGATCATCTTATTGCAAGTTCTATTTTTCTTTCTATAGACAAATGATAAGTATATTCTCAAACAAATTTTATGTAATACAACAATGTATACAAGCTTGTAGACTCATCTCTTGCAATATTATTTGGTCCACACAATTCTTTACAAAATATAGCTCCACCTTCCACCTTTGCCTTATACTATCACTTGATTGTAAAGATGCCTTTGGAAGTAGTTCAAACTCAAAGTCTTCTACAAGGAAATCTAAGTGGATGAATGACTAAAATTAATTCTAAGATTTGATTTGTGCATAGAGTAGAATATTGTATTCTTTACCACACTTTCAAGTTTTGTCAAGACATAGATCACAAGGAATAGTACCTTGGTCAATCTAATTTAGTGATTGAAGCTCCAACAATCAACTCACTATATAAATGTTCTAATTCTATAGAAATTACATGGTAGTTGAATCTTTTGTCTACCATTGCTAATTACAACAAAAAAATAAGAAAAAAATAAACTCTAATAATTACTTAATTATAATTTAATATGTATTGTAATGGTTATGGTACTTTACTACAACTAGAAGAGGTAATTGTCACTAAATTATATTACCAAAGGAACTAAAATATAATTCGATGTTAGCCAATACCGTAATTGATCACATTTAAGGTCTAATCAACCTGCAATCTAGACCTCATTCACAAATTTCTAACATTATTTCTTCTTTAGCAGCTTTATTGTAGCAAAATCTTTAATATAACATTAATAATTTCTTCTTCTCCAATACAATTGTCACCTAAGTTCCAACTTATTAGTACAAGAAAG